TTCCACCTCTTTTTATTTCTTTCTCTCTCCCTTTTTATTATTATTTTTTAATAAAAAGGAAAGAAAAAAAAAAAAAACCCCTTTTCTGGCCCTGAGCCTAAAATCTCTTACTCGTGATGCTAATCTTTCCTCGCTGGCTCCACGCCACTGCTATTGGCTCCATGCCTGTTTAATATCGTGGCTGCTGATAGCAGGTTGTGGCCGTGTTTCCATTATAAAGTTCGGCTTTAAAAAGGTTTCTGAGATGGAGACACAGCCTTCCAGGCAAAGGGTCCTCACTTTACGCCTCGTCATCCAAGTACGGGCCAGGGGTCTCCAGCCTGCATTTGCACACGTCTCCGACTTAGCCAGATTTAAACGTGCTCCTTTGGAGCTCTTTGGAAAAGCTGGGTTTTAGTGCGAAAACTTCACTCTCTAAGAACATTGTCCCATCTCTTTGAAGGCAGTTGAATTTGGGTCTGGGTAAAAAAAGGGTCCCTTGTCTTAATCATAACAACAAAAACGATACATACTGCATTGGGTCTTTGAGGAAAAGATGCTTTTCCCCAAGGTTTGATAAAGAAAATACTTCTGTCTTGTCCCTCTTCTGTCTCATTTCTTTCAATCCCATTTTTCATGACTTATGTAAGACATATTTACATGCTGAAGACTTTTTTCAACCAAACTACAAAATAATTCCCTCGCTTATCACCCATTGTTCCATTAATTCAGTCAGCCAGTTGAGGGCAGAAAGCTTCTATCTCTGAGGCTTCCTACAGAGGTCCATTCTGGCCCCAGGATCTGCTTCTGAGTCACTGAGGTGGAGTGTGGAAAGAGAAAGACACATAATCAAAAGACCCCCGACCTCAGTTTTGTCAGCTCTTCATTGTGTGGCCTTGGGCAGTGTATTAAAAACATCTTTCAACCACAGTCCCCTCATCTGCAAACTGAGCATTGAGCTTATGTGCTGCTATGAATATTAACTGAGATAATACTGAGTACGATGCTCTCTTAACTAGAAGTGATAGGTATTATTCTTTGGTGCTGGGACTTGAAAGGAGCTCCATGAGTGTTCACTGGCTTCACCTGATTTCCTGATAACAGTGCAGCGGGCTGGTTTCTATCTGGCACTGGAGGAGTTTTCTGACCTGGTTCTAAGAGCGTCTTCCTGTCCATTACTTATTATTTTATTGTCCATTATGATTCCCAGGAACAGCCCACAACGGAAAAAAGGACTTACTGTACTCTTTTTACTCACAACTAACATAATTTAGAAGGTTGACAGAAATACACGAGCTACTAATGCAATTTCCCCCAGCTAAAATCTTCATTAAGGAAAGGTCGGGAGGTTTTGAGGATGAAGATGCAAAACCAGGGAAATTCACAATAAACCCCAGGAGGACTCGCCACAGTCCGGAGCAAGCTCTGTTCCCAGGCTGGACAGCGGCTGCCAGTTGGCAGGCAGCGTGAGTCCAAGGTCTTGCAGACCATGGAAAATCCATAAACGGTTCAGGACAAAGACTTGCAGAGCTGTCTTCTTCTCCACACAGGGAGCTATGTGGAGAAGTTTTGGCTGTGGGTATTTTGAGATCTCAGCTGAGGAAGGCACATGGGGACTGTGAGAGAGGAAAAATAAATTATTCAGACACAGGGCTCTAGGAATAGAGCTGTTGGTTCAGCTTTGCTCCTGCCAAGGAGCCCCTGGGTTTATCATTAGCCTTGTTTTATTTTATTGTTTTGTTTTATTTTGAGACAGAGTCTCAGTCTGTTGCCCAGGCTGGATTACAGTGGTGCAATCTCGGCTCACTGCAACCTCTGCCTCCCAGGTTCAAGTGATTCTCCTGCCTCAGCCTCCCAAGTAGCTGGGATTACAGGCATGAGCCACAGTGGCCTGGCCTGGGACTATTTTATTTTTAACTTATTTCTTTTGCTTTTGGGTCTCTGAGGCCAATCTCTCTGGTGTTCCTACCCAGATCCTCTTTCTCTGAGAATCTGTTTTCATAAGAAACATCCCCTCCTTCATATGTCACTAGCATCCTGCCATTAGCCAACCAGCCTCCCCTTCTAATCCAGGGAAGCTGACTTGACCCAGATTTGAGGCAACTCAGCTCTGCCTTCCATCCATGTTTGAAGATGTATAAAAACTGGATACACGGCTGGAAAGTCATTTTCCCTTACTATTCCAGTTGATAAACACCCACTATGCGGCACTAAATCTGAGAAAATTCCTAGTAATAAAAGTTTTTGAAAAAAATAAGGTAAGGGATTTTATTACCATGATAATTCCTTTCAGAATATTTGCCTCCCTGCAAAACTTGGAAGGAGGAAAAAATTCCTTTGACAATGCTTTGTTAAGATGGGAGTGACTTATTTCCCTTTCCTCACTGTGAAAATTTAAACCTTCAACCACACTTTAAAACTAGAGTAGCTGACTCCATGTACAGTCTTTTTTGTGTGTGTGTGTGTGTGTGTGAGACCGAGTCTCATTCTGTTGCCCAGGCTGCAGCAGTGGCACGATCTTGGATCTCGGCTCACTGCAGCCTCCACCTCCCTGGTTCCAGTGATTCTCCTGCCTCAGCCTCCCCAGCAGCTGGGATTACAAGCATGCACCACCACACCCAGCTAATTTTTTTACTTTCAGTAGAGACAGGGTTTCACCTTGTTGGCCAGGCTGGTCTCAAACTCCTGACCTCAAGTGATCTGTCCACCTCGGCCTCCCAAAGTGTTGGGATTACAGGTGTGAGCCACCGCGCCTGGCTCTACCTACAGTCTTATTTCATTTTTAAAGCCAAAGACAGCAGATTAGTTACATGACAGCTCGTGCTCCAAGGCTAAACTAACCTTGAATTGAGTCTTAGATCTGATACTTGCTAGCTCTGAGGCTGTGCAGACCACTGGGTCTCACTAAGCCTCAGTGTCAGTTGTAAAATGAGGATATTAATATTTGTGAGGATTTCATGAGACTGTGGCTATCTATAGACAGGCTGGCAGGATGCTGGGCTCATGTAAATATTCCTGCCAATATCCGTCTGACCGTCACTATTATTACGAGTCAATATCCACATGGCTGCCATCATGATTACTATTCTTGAAGATGTTACTTCCTAGCCGGGGCCTGCAGGTCTAATCTGTACCCTCTTTGCCTTGCTTTTGATGAGAAAAGGGGCACAGGCGAGCCTGCTTGCTCCAGCTGTACTTTGCAAAAAGGCCATTAGATGGGGCCCTGACATAATCACTCAAGTCAGCAAGTGGCTGTGACTTTGAAACCTGCGGAAAAGGTGTAAGAAGACCATTGAATCCTGTGAGTACTGCTCAGATTGATCAAATGAACCCACTGGCTCTGGTGTAAGAGGTGACCCAGGGTCCTGGTGTGGTAGCTCGTGCCTGTAATCCCAGCACTTTGGGAGGGTGAGACAAGAGGATCACTTGAGCCCAGGAGTTGGAGACCAGCCTGGGCAACGTGGCAAAACCCCATCTCTATACAAAAAAATACTAAAATTAGCTGGGCATGGTGGTGTGCACCTGTAGTTCCAGCTACTTGGGAGGCTGAGGTGGGAGGATCACCTGAGCCCAGGAGGTCGAGGTTGCAGTGAGCCAAGGTCGTACCACTGCACTCTAACCTGGGTGACAGAGCAAGACCCTTCCTCCACACCACCAAAAAAAAAAAAAAAATTCCCGAGGTTAGTGGTTACTTGTAGAATGACTGGCACTTTTCCAGGGCCCTCCTCCTCCAGGCTCACGCTTTCTAGCCACACGCCTCATTGATGATTGATGATGACTGCTGTTATTTACAAACCACCTGACCCCTGGCTTTATGAACGCTCTGGACCATGCCCAGGATTCCGCTTTACCCTAACTTATATCCACATCTTTATGATTTCAGTGTCCACATGGGCAGCCTATCAACACTATAGGCCCAGCCTCCTAATTCCTTTTCCTTTCCTTCTCCTCTAACGACCTTCACCTCCACTTCACCTCTAACCACTTCCCTTCAAGCTCCACCGAGGTCTTGAATCTCCTGGAATTATTTCCACTTCTGAAATCTGAAAGCTCTGGTTACTTTTGCTCCAACCCCAACCTGTTCTCTTACTCTCACTCCCAGGACACTTTCTCCTTGACCCCACCAAGCTCTCCAATTCCCAAGTCTCCATTGGACTCCGAAGCTCGTTTTGACCTTCACTTACTCAATTTTTCCATACTCTGCTGAACCTACCCTGAAGACAAATCCTGAATCAATTCAACCATTTCCTGTGCTCCTACATGCAGGCTGCAAAGCACAGCTGGGAAAACGCCACAATTATGTAGGCTGATGGCACTACTCATTCAACATTTCCCAAATCACCACACTGCCAAGACTTTCAAGCAATCCTTTCGCGCTTCTCATCCATTTCCCGCAAAGGTTATCTTTGACCTTTATTACCCTCCTTCAGCCCCCTCTTTCCTCACCCCTTCCTTTACAGGAGATGACCTTTCTTCCCATATTACTGGAAACTAGAGACCTTCTGTGTGTGCTCGTCACTCTCTGCCCCTTCTCCCCCTCCTTACCTGCCCTGCTTTTCCTTCTATTTCAGAGGTTCATGAAGACCATTCACTTTCTGGCTTCTTGGGGCAGGCTCTTCCTCTTCTTTTCTTTCCCTCCTTCTTTTTCTTTTTGAGACAGGGTCTTGCTCCGTCACCCAGACTACAATGCAGTGGCACAATCATGGCTCACTGCAGGCTCAACCTGTTGGATTCAAGTGATCCTCCCACCTCAGCCTCCCAGGTAGCGGGGACTACAGGCGCGCACCACCATGCTTGTCTAATTTTTAAATTTTTTTTGTAGAGACGGGGTATCACTATGTTGCCCAGGCTGGTCCTGAGCTTCTGGGCTCAAGTGATCCTCCTTCCCCAGCCTCCCACAGTACTGGGATTACAGGAAAGAGCCACCAGGTGCCCCGCTGCTCTTCCTCTTGCAACTCCAAACTCTCACTGGCCTACCGGCTCCTTCCTCAGTATTTCACAGTTGAGTTAATGTATGACACTGTATCATTTGATGGGCCCACATTTGTTTCTTGTGTTCTATGCCTTGCCCTGGGCTTTAGAATCTGTCCTTTCATTGACTTGCATCTGTTGTTGCTAATGAGAAGTCCACTATTAGGATGAGGGATGTCCCTTTGTATGTGATCTGTCCTTCCTCTAGAGGAGCTCTTAAAAAAAAAAAACTTCGATAATCTGCAGTTTCATGACAATGTGTCCAGGTATAGATTTATTTTTAATCCCTTTAGGATTTAGAGAAGTATTAGAGGGTATCCAGGCTGCTCGGGGTCAAATCCCACCACCCAGTTGTGTGACCTTGGGCAAATTACACACATTCTCTCTTTTACAGTTAACTCACATGTAAATTACTCTTATCCCAGGGATAGTAGAGGATTAATGAGTTAATATATAGCATATAGAATAGTGTCTGGAACATAAGGGCTAAATAAGTGTTTACCATTATTGTTATTGCTCAAATATACTTTGATGTAAGGATTTATGTCCATCTTCACTTCTAGAAAATTCTCAGCCTTTACTGTTTCAAATATTGCTTCTCTGCTATTTCCTCCATTGTATGGTTGGTGCAAACTACTTGCATTAAAACTAATGGCAAAAATCGCAATTATTTTTACACCAACCCAGTATTTTTGCGCTCCTGTGAGTTAACTATACGGCAACTCTCATTCTTTCTCCCTAATTTAACTACTTATTTAAAAAATTCTTTGTATTTCTGTGCTGTGAAATGGGTTGTATTTCTCAATACTATTATTATCTTCCAATTCACTAATTATCTCTTCAGTTGTATCTAGCCTAGTTTATCTTATCCACTTAGATTTCATTTCAATGATTCAGTCCCTCAATTTCAAACTGGTTCTTTTTCAAATTCTCTGTTCTTGTTTCTTTTTTGTTTCCTAATTTCTCGTTCTTTTAAAATGAACATTATTCCTTTACTTTTCCCTCTGAGCAGCCTGAATATACTATTTTAATCAGGTCTATCTACAAAGTTATTTTCTTTGGCAGCAAATTTACATTCTGACTGTTGATACCTTGGCTGTCTTTATGAATGTTAGATTTGCGGGGTTGTTTTTGAGTGGGAGGCTTTGTTGTTATTGTCACTGTTCCTGCTCTATTTTTCTCCACCTCCACTCCCTGACTCCTCAAACCAATCTCTAGGTTTTACAGTTGCCTTCTAAGAGCAAAACTACTGCTATAAGCCATGGTCTAGGCATTGGATAGAGGGGATTCTTTTTAGGTTCCTTTCACTTGAAAGAATGAAAAGAGGGTGGGAAGCCCTACCCCAGCCTCTTTTTTCAAACAGTGAGCCTGGCTCTGGTCCCCGCCCCGCTTGCATTGAGTACTTTTAGTCCTATTGCCGTAAAAGACCTACATCAACACCTGCCTGCCCCCAAGACCCGGATTCCAGTCAATCCAGGCTACCCTCATCCTTCCGAGTTTTTGATCCACGAATCCAGCTATATCACTTTGGCTTTCTGTCTTTGTATTTTATCTGTCACTGCTATGCGTTTGGAACAGAGGAGATGCATCCGAACATGAACCTCTTTTCCACAGAGACGGGAAATCTTGCAAAGGCTTCTCCCTTCCACTCTGAGTCCCCTTCTGATCCAATTCTTTTCCTTCCTTCCACAGCCAAGCATCAAAGGATACTGCAAGCTGGCTTCTACCTCCACCATGTCACTCATTTTCATAAAGGTCACCAACGACCTTCTTATTGCTCATTCTCACAGGACGTTTTAAATTCTGTGTTCACGGAACTCTGTTGCTATTATTGGTAACAATTTCTTCCTTGGTGTTCTCACTTTCCTGGGCCTTTGTGACTCCCTAGCATCCTGATTCTCCTTCTAACTCTCAGAGCGTTCCTTTCTCATCCATCTTTATGAAATGCTCTTCCATTTCCCTCCCGTTAAATGTCAGTATTCCCCCAGGTTCCATCCTTGCCCTTCTTTTCATTTTATCCCTCATGTATCCTTTGGGTAATATCCTCTGTTCTTACACTTTCAAAACTACCTTTATGATTTCCAAATCTGTATCTCTAGGTTTCAGCTTTGGATTTATATACCAAATTCCCTACCGGTTATTCCACTAAGTTTTCTATGAGTACTTCAAACTCAACTGGACAAAAACTGAACTCATCCACCTCACCTGTCACAGTCTGTTTGGGCTGCTATTAAAAAATGCCATAAACTGGGTAGTGTATGAACAAAAGAAATTTATTTCTTAGTCGGACACAGTGGCTCATGCCTGTAATCCCAGCACTGTGGGAGGCCGAGGTGGGTGGATCACCTGAGGTCAGGAGTTGAAGACCAGCCTGGCCAACATGGTAAAAAAAAAAAAAAATTCTTATAATTTTAGGGGCTGAGAAGTCCAAGACTGAGGCAGATTTGGCATCAGGTGAGGGCCCACTTCCTGGATCATAGACAACACCTTCTTTTTTTTTTTGAGACGGAGTTTCACTCTTGTCGCCCAGGCTGGAGTGCAATGGCATGATCTCAGCTCACTGCAACCTCCACCTCTCGGGTTCAAGCAATTCTCCTGCCTCAGCCTCCCAAGTAGCTGGGATTACAGGTGCCCACCACCACGTCCAGCTAATTTTTTTGTATTTTTTTGTAGAGACGGGGTTTCACCATGTTGGCCAGGCTGGTCTTGAACTCCTGACCTCAGATAATCTGCCTGCCCTGGCCTCCCAAAGTGCTAGGATTACAGGTATAAGTCACCGTGCCTGGGCAGATAGCCACTTCTGGTTGTGTCCTTACATGGTAGAAGGGACAAGGGGTCTATCTGGGGCCCTTAAGACCTAAGCACTTTCAAAGGCCTCACCTCCTAATGCCATCACCTTGCGGGGATTAGGATTTTAACATAGGAATTTGGGGGTGAGGGACACCATGGCATCTCCTAAACCACTTTAAAAAAATTCCTTGTCTTAGTTGGTGGCACTAACACCCATTCATTACAAAAACCTGAATTATCTCAGACCGCTGAGCCAATTGCTCCAACCTAACGAGGCACCAATCTTTATTTCTCTTCCTAATTCTCTCCTATTTCTTTTCTTTTTTTTCTTTTTTTGAGACGGAGTCTCACTCTGTCACCAGGCTGGAGTGCAGTGGCATGATCTTGGCTCACTGCAACCTCCGACTCCCTGGTTCAAGCGATTCTCCTGCCCCAGCCTCCCAAGTAGCACGTGCCATCACTCCCAGCTAATTTTTGCTTTTTTAGTAGAGATGGGGTTTCACCATGTTGGCCAGGATGGTCTTGATCTCCTCACCTCGTGATCTACCTGCCTCGGCCCCCCAGAGTGCTGGGATTACAGGCATGAGCCACTGCGCCCAGCCTCTCCTCTCTCTTTCTACTGTCACTGCTCTAAATCTTGGGCTGCATTCTCTATCATCTGATCTACTGCAAAAATCTCCTGTGTTCTCTACCAGTCTCTCCCCGCATCACGATCTTGCCTGTCTACCCATTCTCACCCTCTAGCGTGTGTTCTCCATAAAGCCTACCCCATTGTCTTGCAATGACAGTACCTGCCCCCACACCAGCCTGACAACCTCTGGTGCCGAATAGATGTTTAACAAGTGTTTCTTGTACAATAAATTAAGGCACCATTAAAAGCATCCTATCTTGTTTTTGTTTTTGTTTTTGTTTTTTGAGATGGAGTCTTGCTCTGTTGCCCAGGCTGGAGTGCAGTGGCTGGATCTCAGTTCACTGCAAGCTCCGCCTCCCGGGTTTACGCCATTCTCCTGCCTCAGCCTCCTGAGTAGCTGGGACTACAGGCGCCCGCCACCTCGCCC